GCCGACGGCGTCGCCGAAACGACCACGCCGGATGTGATGGGAGAAACCGTGACAGTCGCGTAAAGGGAAGGACGTTATGGCAAGGCAAACATTCTGGACATAACTTTAAGACATCTATATAGGTGTAAGATGATGTATATGTGTTTTTTTTCATTTCTTCAACTAAGAGTCCAGGTCTTCTACACTTACTTTCGACATGTTTCTAACCGGTTATTGGCCTTTGGCCTCCTTTGGTCTACTATACGAGGGCGGTTGGGACAACAAGACCTCATGATCCTAGCCCCATGGTATTACTGTATTACAGAATTCTTCCCATTCCACCTGTTCAGATCCTGGAGTGTCATGGGTCAAGTTCCCTCAAAAGAGTCCGACGTTTGTAGACATATCGTTTGAACAGCTCAAGTTTGAACAGCTCAAGATTGAGAACAAAGTCGGCGTATGAGCTCAAGTTTCCCTAAAAATCTAGGAACCACAAATACGGTGAGCTATCCTGCGTCCACACTAGTAGCGTCTCAGTAGCTAGGAGGGAACTTTTCCCTTACCCCTTACCTAGATACGTAGCCAGTCTCTATTTAATTAAGTAAGGAGGCAGGGCCACGGGCTAAAAGAACAAAGCTCACCATGTCTCACCGTACAGTTCGCTTTCGTCTTCCATGTTTTTGCAGGTCTTGGGCGAACTCCTCATGGGGATCCAGCTGGAGAGTTCCACTCAGGCCTCGGAGCCGTGGGGAGCACCAACCGGTGGGTGGGGGAGCGTAGTACCAAGCGAGGGCCAAGACGTGGGATGACCTCTGTTAGGTCCTCTTCGTAGGTACCTGATTTACAACGCGAATGGCCTTTTGTTCATCAAGAGCCTACATTCTGTGGCTTTGGCAGTCGCCTGTGACTAGAGCATGCATGCATGCATGCTAATTCTGATTTTGAGGCATGGGAGGAGTACCCAACTCAAAACTACCCAGTCGTTGCCTTTTTGTGGGTGCAGAGGACGCAACATGTTCTGTTTGTCACTCAACTACTCTGACACTAGAGATTTGGCATCTCCTCATCACTGGTGTGCTCATGATCCAGTCCAGCACCCTATCCCTATCTTCATCCAGCCTGAGCAACCACGTGCTTCACCCCATGCGAACCCCATGAGATGCCTCGCTTCCCAGGCTGAGCTCCCCCCCAGAAAGAGGGGTCAAGGGAAGAACAAGGCCGGTCGGTGCCCGGTGGTGCGGTGTGTCGACGGTTTGGAGGGTCCGTCATTCGGATCCGTCGAGATTGCATTCGAATGATTCGACGCCGATGGGAACTCAATGGGCCTGGAACAGGGAGTCTAGCCCTGCAGCTTAGAGCAGCTGGGAACTCAATGGGCCTGGAACAGCAGTCCCTGCAGCTTAGAGCAGGTTCGTTGATGTTCCATCAAGAAAGGGCATCGCTACTAGTGGCAAGAGGCTACGAGTAGCTCCTGGCACTACTACTAGGAACAAGAAGCTACTAGGACGCAACTAGTAACAAAGGGCATTACTACGAACGTAGCATTCTGTTGGTTGTTCGTTTCGCCCAGTTCACAGTCGTCAACGTGACGGATTGAGGGCAGCGACAGTGAGAGTGACAGTGACTCGACCGATGGTGGAAGCCTCAACGGTGGAAGCGACAGAAAGTGGGAAAGTCCTTGAGACACAAGTGAGTGTTTGCCAACCTCAGAGGGCGCACGGAAATTGGATGTGAGATCATGTGAGTGTGAGATTTGAACTGAAGCTCCCAAGCCAATCCAGGGAGAAAGCACGGAGGCATAGACTGCCTCTTAATTGCTGTTCATCTCGTTTTGTAAAACTGGGCCGCATCGTGAGCGACCGCACGAAAAGAACGCGTGCCCAACTAGGTGGTGTGTGCGGTCAAACCGTGCGTTTCGGCTTGGTGGACGTCTTTGCCTCTTTGATGCAGATGAGCCCGGAGCATTTTCTGGAGGCGAGCGGTGGCGATTTTGGTGCGGAAGGTGTTGCAGAGATTTTAAGGGAATGTCATGGAGTCATACTTTCAGAAAGGGATAAGGACATTGAAACGAATTGAAACGTCCCTATCTCCAAGTTAGCAGATGAAGGCATTTTCAAGACCTTGGAGAAGAGGAACCCAACTACACCACAGCCTTACCTTTTCAAGTCCTTGTTTCGGCAGCTGCTACCAGGTTGGATTGCCGCTGGACATGGAGCTGGATCCTCATGGAGCTGGATAGACACATTCTGCACGGTTGAAGTGGGCGCAAATATTGGACACAAGGAAGGCATGGCTTCAGTGAAGGGTAAGGCTTCTGTGGGCAACAAGAGCTGTTTTCTTTTTATTTTTCGCAGGGAGGAGACGCTATATATATATATATATTTTTTTTTTTTATTGAGGTGACAACCAGATTGGGGGTGATTTGTGCAAGTACATGTTTCCATTGGCATCTGTTGCCGGGCTGGTGTTGGGTGTTGGGTCTGCCGGTCTTTCGGTCACTTGTTTTGATTGCTTTCTGCGCCTTCCCAGAGCCTTTGATGTGCAACACAGAGCTGGAAGGTGATTCTGAGCGCCACTAGACCCAGTAGCCGCTGATGCATCATCTAACTTCAACGCCGGCATCAGTCTAACTGGAGCTTCTGTTGTGAAAAAACACACCACCAGGGCATGTCACAAGCTTCAGAAGCATCTCCACTGGGGTGCTGCTCTGCTGAGGCTCATGAAGGCTCTGCTTCAAAAGCCCAACGATGCGGACCGGAGTGGGGACACCTGGTCGGAGAGGCCGGAGACAGAGAGCAAACCACTGAGACCATTGAGATGGCACTTACTTGTTGGGTGAATCCGGACCGTTTGGATGTCAGGAGATGGACAGGAACAGGGCCAGACCCTGAAACCATCTGAAACCAGTGAGCGAAATCGCTGAGGCTGTGGCGGTGGTTGAACAACATGTTGTTTGAACAACATGGTACCATTTGCACTCGCCCCTTGCACTCATCCAGTCCTGCGCTTTCAGCCCCTTTCACCCAGCCCGCCTCAGTTGCCCAACGGAACACGTTCACCACGTTCCGATTGACGGACCGGGCTTGGGGAGCGCGAACGGACACTCGGTCGCCCGGTGGTCCGGTGGTTCACCAAGGCTTGGCACTCTACATGGCCAGTGATGTGGTGGAACACATGGGAGAGCCGCGGGGTCGCAGCGGGGTTGAGCTTAACCAGATTGATTCAAAGACATAAAAACAGATTGGGCTATATTGGGCTTAACTCCTATAGATGTGAAAGAGTGATGCCCGAACTCGGACTGCGAGAAGCTGTTGTAGGGGAAACTGTAGTTTAGGGTCATTTTCAGGTTCTTTGTGGTTCTGTGCTAGTTTAGGGGTTGAGTGTCCATTTGCAAGTAGTGATTTGTTGAACCATCCTTGCAGGTTGAGCTCAAGTCAAGAAAGGATCTCGAAACAGGTTAAGTGCCTGGTCACAAAAGCATAACTATTTTGTTTGCCACATATGTATGGGTTGGTGGAAACAATGAGTTTCGAAGGTAGAAGGACACGTTTGCTGATCCTCTCAGATTACGACTCTGATGCAGAGGATATCAATTTGTGGACCATGTGTGGATAGCAGCTGGGCACAACAAATGGGCACAAGAACGGGGACCCTTCAAACCCGTCGGTGGTTCTTCACCAACCCGGATCCGGGCGCCACCGCTTGGCGCGCAGTGCTTGGCTCACGGGTATCAGGTTGAGCGTGCCATACTGGAACTCCTTCATGGAGGCGGCATGCCCGGAGCTCTCAGAGGCGAAGGGGGTGGTTTCAACCGACCTCCGGAGAGCGATGGGACTCGCGATGGTGTTTTTGTTCACGCGTAATTCATCACGTTTGCACTCACAGTGATACCAAGCATTGGGTCTTTGTTTTCTAAGCACCAAGTGATGCCAAGTGTGAAACAGATCAGAAGTTTTGGTCCATCATCCATCCCAGTGGGGGACAACCTGGGTCTTTCGGCTGACGACGGGACCCCAGCAGCTTGGACTGGACGAAGCTTCTCACCGAAGTGTGGGCAGTCTTCCAACTCGAGGCACACCGAGCTGAGGATGAGGGTCAAAGGGAGGTGTTCTTGTGCTCAATTTTGAGAGCACCGGTGTGAAGGCGTGGATCGATGAGGTATTTCTCGGGAGACATTGTTGAAGATGAATTACACAACATGCCAGACATGGAGCCAGAAAACTAGTTTTGAGAGGAACATGCGCTGGGGCATTCAAAACATGGATAGCCTCATGATCAAAGAATATCAAAGACAAGTCTAATCCTCAAGCTTAAATTTGTCCGGGCCGTGACATAGAGAAGCTGATGAGTATCCAGTGGTTTTGAGGTGCATCGACCTAGGATACATGATACCCTTTGGAAGACGTATCAAGACTCTTAATGCAGGGTTTACTGATTTGATGCAGCTAGGTTTCGTGTGGTGTTTCAGATGATTAAGACTCTTTGGAGATCGCTGGATGACCATGTGCTGAGGCAATTGCATCACCGACAAGTCACCGGTGATTCGACAGCCTGGAAGTCCCAGCAACGAAGTCACGGGTCTGTCGTTCGGCCAAGCAAACGCAAGTGCAAACGAATATGATATGACAGGCTGTCCTGGGGTGGCTGTTGCATCCAAAAGAAGCCCTGGCATTTCATCGTCATGTAAGTCGTCTTGGTAACAACAAGTCGTATGGGACCTCCTGTGGGGTGAATGTGCAGACTTGGTGGAGGTGGGCAGCATCGATTTCACCAGAAGACCCACCAGAAGACCACGTCCGAAACCGGTGACTGGTGCACCGGAAATTCCGGTCACCGGTGACTGGTTGGATTCGCCATTGGTCTTGCTGTGGACCACAGCGCCGACACCGTTGTGAGGCTAAGCCTCTCACCCTTTCAGCGTACTCTTGGGGTTTGTCCGTTCTTAGCTGTAACAGTCAGTAAATCAATTATTGCTATTTTTCAACAAGGGCTTTACTAGCCATCATCATCCACTGTTACATGCAGGTATTAGGATAGACCCAACGTATTCTATCCTTTGCTGTGGATGCGTGGATGGCTCAAGGGGTAGCGCCCATGCCATGGGCGTGGTCTCCCAGGCCTTGCAGAAAGGCCTCCCAAACGTAGCGGCCCTCAGCTTCGGCTGCCGAAGCTGGGAGCTTGGGCCTAAATGTGGCTGATTCTCTTCTGGCTGCCAGTGGTTTGGGCAGATCTACCGGTGCATTGTTTACATCATGAGATCCTGGGACGATGGAACTTCATGCTGAGCCCACCCAGTCCTGAACGATCCTCCTGCGGCCATTTGAGGCCCGACTCGGTGGATTTCCAGCCACGGAGAGATGATGTGCAGGTGGGCAAACATCTGACCATCTCCCTGATGGATCCCAATGTGGCGGAAGATGAACATCTTCAGCGAGGGACATGGACCATGGTCTATGATGAGGGCTTTGAAGTCGAGATTAACAACCTGAACTTCTTTGCCTTCTCCAACTTTAGCTTTGAACTTGCACAAGGAGGAAGCACCAAGCACAATATCTCACACTGCGATCAAACCATGGTCGGCTGGTATCACAACACGGATCGAACAGAGTTCGGCTGCTACTACGGCAGCAAGGTGATGACACAGGAGGGCGATCCTCCCGCGACAAACCGCGCGGCGGGCGACATGTTGGACGTGATTTTTGTTATGATTCATGATTCATGACGAGTCCCACTGTTATAATATGAAATACTTAGTTGGGGACGGCCAAAGGGTTTCTGATTCGGACACAGCCACTCTGTTCACCAATCGGCCGTGGACGCAAAATGCACATTATGTAAGCCAACTGCCAAGCAGGATTTATGCATTTTTTCACCATGCTCATCCTGTGCTTGGTGATTTCACCTGGAAGCACCTCCGACCAGGAACCGCCCGCTGAGCAAGCCGCCGCTGTGCGCCCCGTCCATTTGGGTGGCTCGGTGAAAGCACACACCGAGGCTCAAGAGATCCAAGAATCATCCATCATCATGCCCAAGAAGTTGTAGTTTGACAGTGACATGTCTCGATGGAGTGTTGTTTCATCATCGCTTGGGGGGGGTGATGTTAGGTGCAATCTGTTTAGAATCTTGGCCGTTGACAGGTGACACCTGTTTCCAACTGAGGAAAGAAGCCAAAGACCTTGCTGTATCAGACAAAGCTGTCGCATCATCATCAGCGAAAGGTCATTGACAAGCTCTCTGCCAAGATCGGCAACGAGCAGCTCGGTTTGTTCATTGGGGAGATACCAAGATGAAAAGGGAGTTTTGAATAGTTTGGAAGATGCTGTGATCTTTAACCGCCAGTTGTGATGTCTCTCTGATGTTGAACAAGAGATCCTGTGAGGAGACCAAGATGAATCGTTATTTTTCTTGTTGCACGCTCGGAGATGAATCATACGACACCGACGTCCGCAAGAGGTTCAGCAGCAGTACCCTGTAGCCTTCAAAGACCATTTAAAACATGGTTGACCTGCTTTTGTAGTGTAAACAGACATACAGACATAAAATGATTTATTAAATCGTCCAACAATGATTGTTGGGTGGCAACGGGCCTGTCAAATCAATGGTGTTTCGCATCCTGAAGGGGAGTGTACCGATCGTGTGTCCCTTTCCCATCGACGGTGAACGGCTGAGGTCCCTGGGATGGAAGGCCAAGACCATGGAGAAGTGGAACGGCCTCTCCATGCTGCAGGCAACGCGGCAAAAAGCTCCACTCAGTTTAGACATGTTTTGAATCCGCGCGCAAATTAGTTTTGCGCTGTGGAAACGCTTGGAGCGTGTTCTTTTTTCCACGGATTCTGCGCGTTTGGGGGCCCCAAAATATCCTGGGAGGCACGTTCGAGCCTTGTTGCCAAGCTGTTTGAGATCAGATTTGATCCAAGTTGTGGACAACAGTCATGACCTTGCGTCCGCATGACCAAAGGCTTTAAAGGCGTGGCACGGCAAGGCTTGGCACAGGAAGCATCATGTGTTATGGTCATGTTTGTAACCGCAGAATATTTTGTAAGGCACTTTGAAGTACGTTCGGAATTCAGGCGAGCCTCTTCTGCTGTTTTGGATGCCTCGGATGCTCAAAGAGCACGGTGCATGATGGAGACACGGTGATCGACCCGAGCAAAAGACTGTTTGGTCCAAGTCGCCCTTTTCTGGAGAAACGGGATTTCCATTAGATTTGGGCTTGATTTCACCAAGCCCCTGCGGCCTGCGGCCCCCCCCAAAAAGGAGTTTGCCGGAAATCGGGAGCTCTTACAGGAATTGGTGTCCTGTCTGCGGGGGGGGAGGAACTCAACCAGTGCGCCGGTGTCTTTTCCTTCCACTTTCTATCATCGAGTGTGCCGATCGCACCTGCCACAAACCATTTCACTCAGGTGAACTCCTATGCTGGCATCAAGCGTTCTCGTCGTAGCACAGCGATGTTGAGACAACATGCTGCGAAGCTCAAGACACTCTCAGGGAGGGTGAAGCGAAGGACGCGGAACAGACGGCAAAAGGAATGCGTGCGTGTCCCAACGCTGAAAGCTGTCGCAGTGACCATCCACCTTCCAGAGCTTTCAACGTGGTTTTTCCCTTGCGAAAACAAATAAACATTAAACAAACACTCTTGTGGAGACTAGTGGGCGTTTTTTTAATCTGACGATCTTGAGGTTCTGTCACAAGGATTCACAAGGTACAATTTGTTCTGCCACGCAGTGTTGTTGTAATACCAGCGGGAGCATCACCAGACTTGCATAAGCGCAATATCTCTTTTGTTCGGACCGGTCTCAGGAATGTTACATTATACCAAATGTCATGACCAAAACCCCTTTGCTCATTACCATCTACTCCCTGTGTACCCGCTCTTAATCCGCAAGTGGGAAGGGCGCAAGTCCCGCGGAAGTCATGGATACCGTCACAATGAGCTTGCTTCGGGAGGTTGCGACTTATGACTTCTTCCAGGGACACACACACGATCACACACATATAATATCACATATAGAAGACGTTCGGAACTCCCTCTCTCCCTGAGCCGAATCGGTTTCGCTGTGGCTTCTCCAGCTATTGGAGCGACACGGTTTGGGTGTCAATCCAGGGGTGACATCGTTTTCCTTCTTTTTTTGGGGGGCGGGGGTCGACATGATGTCACATGTGTTCACGCCGAGTCCTCCGCAATGGCTGGGCCGGTGGACCGTCACCCCAATTTCTGGCATGGCTATCTGACCCAAGGCAGTGGGCCACCGCCACTGCCGGGTTTTCTTCCTAGAGACCGGCCAGTGCATGCCCAGACATGCCCAGAACGACTCGGGGACCAGGAGTTTCTTGCAGCAGACCAGTGTCCTGCAGCTCTCGAAGCCATTGCCGGGCTCCTGGGATTGGACCAATGTCACTGGGCGTACAGCATTGATTGGGTTCAGGGATGTGGATTGATTCATTTGATATTATGGATGAAGAAGAAGAAGAAGATCTCACTAGAAGCAAGTGAAGTGGAAGAACTGGAATGCAGAAAGGGCCAGACAAATGCTTTCTCAAGCTTTTCAGAAGACCAGAGTTCGCTCAAGTGTTGCTACGGACAGCTTAGAAACTACAGCCGTGATCGCAAGCCGACTCACCCGTATTGAGGTGAGTGGGCGCAACTTTGTTGAGCCTGTTATGGACCAATCTGAATGTGGAAGTTGCTATGTTGCTGCTGCGGTGCGTCTTTGGGCTGCGAAAGATGGGCTAGTTGGCCTCAAGGATCAAGGTGAATAAAGGGTCGGGTCATCAGGGGTCATCTATGAATCTATGGTCATTCATGGAATTCCTTGAACTCCCCAATTGCTTTAGTGCGAGATTTTGCCGATGCCTCTGGGCCTCTGTGTCCGAATTGCCGCACTCACCTCACTCATTACAATGTGACGGTGTCGTCACACCATGCCCTTCCGCTGTTGGGTTTTGGCATTTGAGGTATGCTGACAGCCAGACATAAGATCAAACAGAACAACACGGAGGAGGTGCCCTGGTCCATTGCTTTCCCACTGCGCTGCTCTGAGTACAACCAGGGCTGCCACCTGGCGAACAAGAGGAACGAAGGGGGAATTATGAGAGCATGATGAGCGCTTTGAAGTGCTTTGCAACAATTATATATTTTGAGATAACACCTAACGGCTCATGAGCACCATATTAGTACCATGCTGATCAACCATCCAATTGAAGGCAATTAGTCAATGACCTTTCTTTGGCCCGTAAAAGACTCTTGACACGTCCCAAATCGCACCTCCTTTTACGACTCGTCGTCGTAAAGACTCATGGGCGTCGTCGCACTTGAATCTTGGGTCGCAACAATTATCTGCGCCTCAGCAGGTCGAGGTGGCTACGGGATTTTGGCTGCCAAGTGGTCGCAAGAAGTTGGTCTACTTCCAGCGCCGCTTGGAAGGTCACCAGCGGTTGTCGCCCCACGCATTTGGCGCATCGGTGATTGCTTTTGGTCGTGGGCCCCGGTCTCTCTTGTTGCGGACGATCCAGAGGCAAGAGGAACATTTGATGAAATTTGTGTGAAGTCTGTGTTGCCATTCTTATGCACATCAACACACAGTGCCACCAAACATTGTACATCATGCAGATTGTTGAATAAAACGTCCCTTCTAGAATTGTTCTACATCTCCTTATCGGGCTATTGGGGGTGTGCTTTTCAGAGGTGCTGCTATTTTCGAGTGCATTTAGTCAATTTGGTCTAGACTCTGTTTTATGATACCATGGCAATATATCGAAGGCACACCGAGGTTTGACTGACTAAAGCAAGTGATGCTGACAGAGCAAGTTAAGAGAGGGCGCCTTCTTGCAAAGTCCTGGATGACTGCGCATGATCCTCACACGTCTTTTTTTCCAGGCAGGGCGCATTTTCCAGGCTACCAAGGTTTGACTTTGTGCTGTTTGTTTTGATTAGCCTCTGAGGAACTGCATGAAATATAGCTCTGACGGTGCTTGCGAATTGGAATGCAGCCTCAAGGCTGGACTCTGCTGCAAGTATCCTTTGACAATGACATATGTAACCGCAAACAAAGACAAGTTTCCTCTGCACAGGGTCCTTTGTTTCCTTTGCGCAGGGTGCGTCTTTACTTACTCCTTGATTCTATTGATTCACACGATATAGAACCCATTGGTGACCGGATGACGTATTGTGACCACCAGGGCACTCTTCATGATCCTCCAAAAAGCGGATCCTTAACGAACGAAGTACTCCTGGCATGAGTGATCTTGAGAGCCAAAGCACATTTTGGGAGCGCGTTCGTTGTTGCGTTTGTGTGGAAATGTAGGTCCGCGAGCACTCCGACAGTATCCAGTTAACACCTCGTCGCGGTTCGGCTGCCTTCAGCAATTCAAGTTCAGCTCATCCACTGGATCCAGTTAACGCTCCTAAGTTCTTCTTGGTGAAGATCGCCGTGTTTCGTCCCTGCGATGCTAATGCATGCTGATGCATTCTCATGCATGCTGATGCATGCTAAATCATGCTATATAAATCTAATCAGAGGGGCTTGCAAAAATGACTCTCACTTTTTTTTTGACTCTCAGTTTTCTTGTTTCTGACGCTAATGATATTGATACTAAAGAAGAGGGGGAGGAAAAAGATGAAGATGCTCTCAGTTTTCCTATTCACCTTTGATTTGGATGCTAAAGCAGAAGGGGAGGAAGAAGAAGATTTCTTAACTTATGATTCATAATATTATTAAACAGTTGAGTCTGAACTTGAGGACACATTAAAAAAATTAAGTGAGTCTTGTGGACCGTCAAGTCTGAATGGCATCATGTATGTATAAGCGAGTCTCTCTTGGAGAATATGCTTTGGACAGATAATCTAAATTTGAAGGTAATAAGTGATTCATGTAACTGACTATTTTGAACGGTTGAGTCTGAATGCTGCATTATGAATTAAAAGATGGCCTAGGGCGGGGGGAGGGGGGGTAAGGTGCCCAACACCCCAAAACACAACATCCAAGAACAACTGAAGTGTCCTTATAATATGTCAGGATGTCTAGAATCACTCTATCATTGTTTATTAGTAATTTATTCGAAATGGAGCGGAAAATATCCTTGGCACCAACTCAAACCAATTTGTTTAAAGTTTCTTCAGGTTTGCCATATTTTGCTGATAAAATAATGCTCTACCCCCACTCCGCTATCGTGATCTTCGCTCTTGATCATCGTCACTTTGGAGCTTGGACTCCGCTCCAATCCATTCCACTCCATTCCGCCACACTCCACCACTGTCCCCAAAACATTGTGTATGTGCATGTGTGTCCAGCATGTGTATGTGCATGCGTGTCCAGCATCACTCCGCATGGACCATGCGAAAGCTACTGCATGGATCCAAAATGATGCTGGAACACTAATGGCGCCAATTTTGCCCCCCAGCACCGACACGAGGGTTCTTGAGTAGTCATATTCCTTGCCTGGCCCCGGGTCAGAGATTTTTCAATAACCCGGCTGATCCGTCAGGACCCCCCTAACGCGTAGCATGGGCGGATTTGGTTGGGGATTGGATTTGCCGACCTGGGGACCCCCGGGGCTGGCTCTGGCCACCACCTCGGGTGGAGAACAGGGATAGACTATGGCGCCAAGCTCAGGAGTCCTCTTTTCATGTGTCGCGGTGAGCTTGGGGGGTGAGAGCCATACAGTATCATACAGTATCATACAGTGTCTGTGTGCAGCACATGGCCTCCGCACCACTCCACTCCACGCCACTCCACTCCACTTCACTCCACTCCAGTCCAGTTCACTCCACCACACTCCACCGATCTCCACCGCTTGCAAAAGGAACCCAGTAGCAAAAGGAAACATGGTTCTGGTATGTTCTGGTCATTTCTGGTCTTTGTTTTCCACTTGAGGGGTGTTGGAGTGAGGATGCATTTCCCTGGAGCAATCAGTGCCCCATAGTGCGCTTCGTGATGAAAAGGTCCCTCAACACAAACTGGGGGACAAACACATGATATCACGTGATGATTTGGGGAGTACCTTATTGCAAGTCAGACAGTCTCATCCAGGCACCATCCACCCATACTGATCACGAGGTTCGTATCGGCTTCACATGGAGTGGTGGAGTTTGTTCTGATATGTTCTGAATTGTTCTGATGTTTGATTGATTTTGATTGTCTTGGCCTGTCTTGGCATTGTTTTTTCTGGTGGTGTGCATGTCTAAGCGCTGGTAAATGCTTTTCAACCAAATCCACCACTTAGTGGCCCCCTTGATTGATGATTATTGTGATGATGTCAGGGTCATTCATACACTTGCTGAACATCGTGGCCCATCTGAGCCCTGTGACAACACAAAGACAAGTAGCGAGGGATTTTTTTCAACCTGGCGTAGGCCGGTCCACTTTCTTTGATAATGGTGTAAAAGTCAATTGTTCTAAGTCGCCGGCCTTGCTGGCTGATGAAAAATCACACTCAGACTCAGACTCAGATTCAGACTCAGACTTGAGAAACATGCAAAGTGACAAGCGGCGGCTGGCGGCTGAGGAAGACTGAGTTTTGAACAATGCG